TATATATATATATATATATATATATATATATATATATATATATATATATAATTATATATGAATTGTCTTATATAGTACATATAATTAAAGTAATAATAAAACAACTAGTGCCAGTAAAGTAAATCAGTGAGATCTTTATGGCTGATCCTTGCAGTAAATGCACATACATTTCACAGTCCAATAATACACACTCACTGGCCACTTTATTAGGTACACCTTATTAGTACTGGGTTGGACTCCTTTTTCCTTTAGAACTCCCTTAATGGCAGAGATTCAACAAGGTGCTGGAAATATTCCTCAGAGATTTTGCTCCATATTGACATGATAGCATCACACAGTTGCTGCAGATTTGTCGGCTGCACATCCATGATGCCAATCTCCCGTTCCACCACATCCCAAAGCTGCTCTATTGGATTGAGATCTGGTGACTGTGGAGGCCATTTGAGTACAGTGAACTCATCGTCATGTTCAAGACACCAGTCTGAGATGATTGAGCTTTATGACATGGTGCGTTATCCTGCTGGAAGTAGCCATCAGAAGATGGAGACACTGTGCTCATAAAGGGATGGACATGGTCAGCAGCAATACTCAGGTAGGCTGTGGGGTTGACACCAGGCTCAATTGGTACTAATGGACCCAAAGAAAATCTCCCCCACACCATTACACCACCACCACCAGCCTGAACCGCTGATACAAGGCAGGATGATCCATGCTTTCATGTTGTTGACGCCAAATTCTGAGCCGAGCATCTGAATGTGTCAGCAGAAATGGAGACTCATCAGAGCAGCAACGTTTCTCCAATCTTCTATTGTCCAGTTTTGGTGAGTCTGTGTGAATTGTAGCCTCAGTTTCCTGTTCTTAGCTGACAGGAGCGGCACCCGGTGTGCTCTTCTGCTGCTGTAGCCCATCCGCCTCAAGGTTGGACGTGTTGTGTGTTCAGAGATGCTCTTCTGCAGAGCTCGGTTGTAGCGAGTGCTTATTTGAGTTACTGTTGCCTTTCTATCAGCTGGAACCAGTCTGGCCATTCTCCTCTGACCTCTGGCATCAACAAGGCATTTGCGCCCACAGAACTGCCGCTCACTGGATATTTCCTCTTTGTCGGAGCATTCTCTGTAAACCCAAGAGATGGTCATGCGTGAAAATCCCAGTAGATCAACAGTTTCTGAAATACTCAGAGCAGCCTATCTGGCAGCAACAACCATGCCACGTTCAAAGTCACTTAAATCCCCTTTCTTCCCCATTCTGATGCTCGCTTTGAACTGCAGCAGATCGTCTTGACCATGTCTACATGCCTAAATGCATTAAGCTGCTGCCATGTGATTGGCTGATTGGAAATTTGCGTTAACGAGCAGTTGGACAGGTGTACCTAATAAAGTGGCCGGTGAGTGTAGATTAATAAGACTTTATGTAAATATTTAGTTGTATGGTGAAAGAAGTTTTCATGTAATGCAACTCATTGCTGATGATTATGGGGCCGATCACACTGAACGTTCCAAAAACGTGATGTGCACCGCACTGCCTCTTTTGTTGACAAGAAAAAAATAAGCACGGGCGCTTTTTATGTTGCTAGGCAACAGCTGAACGTTGTTTGCATGATGAATGTTCATCAAACAGTTGTTTTAAGGCTTGGGCAAATCAGTCCACCATTGTGGAACACTGAAAGCAATAGTTCTAGAAAAAATCGTTTAATACAAACAAACATTTACTTTAGAAAAATCCGATTTCACACAGAAAGAAATGTGGAGATTGTGTTAAGAAGAACAATTGTGCATAAAGTCCTATTGACCATCATCATAAAACTATTAAAGGGCCACCAGAGAATGAACAACAGACATATAACCTCTTCTGTCTGCTTTTCCAGGGTCCCCAATCTTGTTTTCTGGGGGGGAGCAGGAGGTGTAGTTTTTGTCCACTTCACCGACTGGCGGCTCATCCTGGACTACGTTCCCTACATTAACGGAAAATTCAAGAAAGATGATTAGAAGGTTTGCTCTTGTCATCTCTCAATAAGCTCTCTTTAGTAACTGTGTTAAAGGGGCTGTATCAAGCTCATTGTGCCCAGTCTCTTTAATCTAGTGCAGGGGTGTCAAACTCAATTCCTGGAGGGCCGCAGCTCTGCACAGTTTAGTTTCAACCCTAATTAAACACACCTGATCAAACTAATTGAGTCCTTCAGGCTTGTTTGAAACCTACAGGTGAAGCTGCGGTCACTCTAGAGTTTGTGTGTGTGAAATTCTGTCGTGCGGCGCTGAGAAAAGGGCCGGGAATACACAAGATTATTAGGCATTAAAAAAAAAGCGAGTGATTGCTCCATGTTTTAAATTTCTGTCCAGAGAGGTCATGTTTTGATTGCTGATTGGTCTCGCTCAGTCAAGTGATGCGATTTCGCAGGTCAGAGTTCACCAAGCTTAAACTTTGCATCGCAGCAACCTGCGAAACTTGACGCATGACCCTGCGTTTCCGGTCTGATGCATTCGCATGTGTATGAATGGAAGTCTATGGGAGGAAAAGGGTTGTTGCTAGAGCGGATACGTTTGCGGCCGGAAGTTAACGCAAATTATTTCTCTTATTTATTAAATTTCTCATTTGTTGTATTTTATTAACGTCTACCCCCACCCCAACCCTAAACCCAACCCTCACAGTAATGTAAAAACTGTAGTTGTACCGAGTATTGGTTGTTATCTATTAAATTACCCAATAAAATGTATTTTTTAACACCTACCCCCACCCCAACCCTCACAGTACTGTAAAAATATTATTTATTGTTATACAGTGTCATAAAAAAATGCTGCTTTATTAATGTGCATATCGCACTTCCGGCCGGCCGCATATCCGATCTAGACTTTACAGAGGAAAAGCCCAGTGTGACCGCAGCTATAGTGTGTTGGAGCAGGGTTGGAACTAAACTGCAGGGCTGCGGCCCTCCAGGAATTGAGATTGACACCATTGATCTAGAGAGTACCTATAGCAGGGGTGTCTACACTCGGGCCGGTGTCCTGGAGAGTTTAGCTCCAACCCTAATCAAACACACCTGAACCAGCTCATCAAGCTCTTACTAGATATACTAGAAACTTCCTGGCAGGTGTGTTGAAGCAAGTTGGAGCTAAACTCAGCAGGACACCGGCCCTCCAGGACACCCCTGACCTATAGAGTAGACCAGGGATGATAACCAGTTTCAAGGTGTACCACGCTTTGGAAAACTTTGTTATGCCATTCCTGCATTATTTACCTCTTGGTCAGACTCTGTGATAGTTGTTTAACACTTATCGATAGTTATTTAATCTAATAAACTATACAGCGATAGGATTGTGCATTAGATGCCTTCTTGTGGACAGACACGGTAACACTCACAGTGCATTATGGATGTTTTCTAGCTGTACATGGGAGATATATCTAGCTGCAGACCTGCAGAACCGCACACGCTTCCGGCACACACAATTTAGGCAAACCATATATGGTAACTAACTATATGGTAACTGCCTAGGAGCATTATCACCACCTATTGAATTTCACAAATATGGTTTCCCCATTATATCATTATTATATCATAAGGATCATTTTAACATCTCTGCCGTTTCTGAACTCAAATTATGTAAATAAAAATAATTGGTTAAACCAGGCGTCAGCAACCCGCGGCTCTTTAGCGCTGCCCTTGTGGCTCCCTGGAGCTTTTTCAACAATGTTCAAAAAGATGGGGGAGGTTAATATATATTTTTGTTTTAATATGATTTCTATAGGAGGACAAACATTTTTAACATTTTCAAATGCTGTAAAAGTGTGTAGAATTAATATTTAATTTCAACATTTCTATGTTAATTTCAACCTGCGACACAGGTTTCTATCAGCAGGGTGGGATGCCAGGCAGGTGGCTGTTGTAAACAAACTGGGAGATAATAAAGCACGGAAAACCGTTCACAGATGGTGACTACATGAAGGAGTCATTCATCAACATACTAGAACACCTATTTGCAGACTTCAAAACCAAGATAATACAAAAAATTAAAGATATACTGTACCTCTCTCCGCTAAGACAGTGAAGGAAAGGGCTATTAAAATGGCAGGTAACATCACCAATCAGCAAACCAAGGACATTAATTCAGTGCCAGCATACTCAATTGCCTGTGATGTGAGCGATATTCAATGTGCTTTTATGCAGGTATGTGAACTCTGAAGAGCCGCAAGAAGAAATGATCAAATTAATACACTGAAAGACCAGAGGCTGTGCTGAAGTGTTTAAATGACAACGAAATAAACACCAACCACCTGATTTCAGTGGCTATTTAATCATGAAGGCTCATTATGTATTTATAGTATCATTTTGATAGTAGGCTAATATAGCTACTATAGATACATACAGCATGTGTTTCCTACATTATAAGGCTTATATAAGGCTTTACATTTTTTGCGGCTCCAGACCTATTTGTTTTTGTTTTTTTTTGGTCCAATATGGTTTTTTCAACACTTTGGGTTGCCGACCCCTGGGTTAAACACTTAGCCTAATGCATGTGCCCACATTCACAAAGAAAACATAATAGACCGTCTAATTGTTGGATTAAGTGTAATAAACTAATTCAGGATCTTAATATTAGCATACTTGGTTCAAATCACTTTGTTGTAAAATGTAAAAAGCAAACAATAATGTGTCACATTACAATAAATTGGCGAGGCGCAGTAGGTAGTGCTGTCGCCTCACAGCAAGAAGGTCGCTGGTTCGAACCTCGGCTCAGTTGGCGTTTCTGTGTGGAGTTTGCATGTTCTCCCTGCCTTCGCGTGGGTTTCCTCCGGGTGCTCCGGTTTCCCCCACAGTCCAAACACATGCGTACAGGTGAATTGGGTAGGCTAAATTGTCCGTAGTGTATGAGTGTGAGTGTGAATGTGTGTGTGGATGTTTCCCAGAGATGGGTTGCGGCTGGAAGGGCATCCGCTGCGTAAAAACTTGCTGGATAAGTTAGCGGTTCATTCCACTGTGGCGACCCCGAATTAATAAAGGGACTAAGCCGACAAGAAAATGAATGAATGAATGAATTACAATAAATTACTATAGTTACTCTTTTAAACAGCATATGATATATTTTATATATTATATTATCTTAAATGATTATCTGATTATAAACTACTGTCTTTTACTAAACTGTTAGCAACTGTTAGTAATATATACATATATATATAGTAAGGGTGTAACGATACGCATATTCGTATTGAACCATTTGGTACGAGACATTTGGTTCGGTACGCATTACAAACCGAACGATTCAATTCAGACTAATATCTAAAAAGATAAGAAATAAGTACAAAATATAATGTTTTGAGTGCAGCAACGCTCAACATGGCATCCCAAATGACATGGCAGACAACATGCTGCCTTCCCCACTGTCATGTTAAACCGTAGATGATCGCTTTTGAACTCTGAATAACACTTTATTAAAGCAGGCGCTCATTAGCAATCTTGCTAGCTTCTGTGTCAGCCTGGCTGCTCGTGCTGGCTCCGCCCCCGTTGCCCCAGCAACCCTGGAGGCCCGACACAAAAGAGCCAACCTCCAAACACTACTCCAGGCATGCGCTGCACTCACTCGCAAAATGGCTAGTAACGTTAATGTAATCCCAGACATCCCAAGTCTCCTGGATGCCCGCAAACGAATGATAATCTTCCGGAAATCCCCGCTCCTTAAATACGTCACGCACTCCTCTCCACAGCATCCTTCCAGCTTTTCAGGTACGTTGGGCACAACTCACCCCGCCACTTAAGCCTAGTTCACACTACAGGATTTTAAACATCAGCAGATCGCTGTGCTGTTCACACTACATGACTTGACTTTGTGTCTTTTGATCTCTGTGGTGTTCACACTACGCAACACTCTGTGAACGATCCACAAGAGGGGGGTCACACACTACATGATCTGACAACAACTCATTCCCCATCAGCTCATTCAAGCTACCAAACCACAGCCAATGAAATGTTGAGGGAGGAGTCGTCAGAAAAAGCTGAACACTATTGGCTGCTTGTGTGCTGATGACATCACTGACAGCGTTTCAAGCTTTGGAGAAAGCATTTAAAAACATCGTCAAATCAGCGGATTTATCAGCGCATTAATCACAGACAGTTTTTAATTTTTGTAATTTTATAACTCTTTGAAATAAAACTAACATATTTATAACACCCTGCCGTTTTCTAACTATCAGTGTATTTCTTTCTGACATTGTTATTTTTTTATTACAAAACAGTGAAGAACTGAGCATTTCTGCCTTAAATTACCATATTGGTCAAAATGACTGCATGCATGTCTGATACTTTTCACTGTGACTTTAAATATGTGTGCATTTTCTTGCCTGGCAACTTCCTGCTAACATAAACAAAACTTTCTGATGGCAAAAACATCAATTTACTTCAGATATCTTTCAAAACAGCAGATTCTGTGCTGTGAAAGAGCTCCTGTTTGAAAGTGAAAATGAAAGCCAAGCCCTTTAAGTGTTTTAGTATCTTAACTACATATTTATAGGCTGTATTACCAAAAAAGATTATATTTTTAGGGTAATGGTGTCATTAAATATGATGCCAGACATTCAAAGCTTAATTTTAATATCTCAATAATAGCTTTGAATGTAAATATGTTGTGACAATATGGCGTTTTATATGAGAACGGTCAGAATGAGCAGTATGGTAATTCTAATAGTTACAGAATTCTAGTTCCACTGTTTATATAGCCTACTCTCATGTCTGTGTTAACGCAGAATGAAGCGAGTGCACCGATGCCCATTCTGACCAATCACAGATGTTTCTGCTGAGCTCCTGAACACACAGGCGTTCAGCTCATGCTGATCTGCTCTCTCATTGGCTGTAGCTCGTCACTACATCTGACCACACGTGGGGTTGAGTCGGCCGACTGCTCTGGAATATTTAGCATGCTGAATGTTGGATTTCTGTCTGCGAGGTGTCGGCGACGAGTCAGCGAGCCTCGTTGATGCGTTGTTCAGTAGTTCACACATAAAGAGCGGCGAGCGCCGAGCACCCGCAGATTTCTTCCCGATCACAGCCCGATCTGTCGGCGAGCTCGTTAACTTCCAAATCGGGCTCAAATCAGGCTTAAAATCCTCTAGTGTGAACTAGGCATTAGGTACATCACACACACACTCCCCCACCGCTCTTCAGATATGTTGCGCACCATCACCGCTACCAAGAGAGTGGTGGAAAAAAAACATCTGAGAGATCTTAATCAGTAGTGGAAATGTCGGGTTTTAAGAAAATGTTAAATGTTATAGAGCCCCGTTACATTATTCCTTCATAAGCCCATTTCAGTCAGATAACTCCTGCTTTCAGATCCACTGAAATGGCAGGGGACGGTCAAATCAAGCAGATCTGTGCTGTGCTGACACTCGTCTTTCTAAAAATAAAAAATACTTAATTGATGGAAACTGAGCTCCATATAAAAATAAATTGGTCTTTTCTTTTTCTTTACTGCTACAATATTATGTTTATTTTTTTTTTAAGCGGCTTTTTGGTTTTGAGTATAAAGAAGGTTTTGTTTTATTTGCTGCTAAGCAGAAACCCCGGAAGTAAAGCTCTATCACTGTTTAAAGTAAAAGAAAAAAAAACAAGATCATACTTTAATGATGTTAGTTTTAATACTTAAAAAATTAAATCAGAGAAATCCTCTGAATTTTTTTTTTTTTTTTTTTTTGCTGTATCGGAAACATACCGAACCGTGATTTTTTTTGAACAGTTACACCCTATATATATATATATATTCTTCTTCTTGTCAGCTTAGTCCCTTTATTAATCCGGGAATGAACCGCCAACTTATCCAGCAAGTTTTTACACAGCGGATGCCTTTCCAGCGGCAGCCCATCTCTGGGAAACATCCACACACACATTCACACACACACTCATACACTACGGACAATTTAGCCTACCCAATTCACCTGTACCGCATGTCTTTGGACTGTGGGGGAAACCGGAGCACCTGGAGGAAACCCACGCAAAGGCAGGGAGAACATGCAAACTCCACACAGAAATCCCAACTGCGCCAAGGTTCGACCCAGCGACCTTCTTGCTGTGAGGCGACAGCACTACCTACTGCGCCACTACCTCGGCATATATATATATATATAATAATTAGTATTATTATTACCAGTTAATTTTTTTGTTGCAACTATAATTACAGCAAATTACCAGTACTTTAAGGTTTAAAAACAATACATTGCTTACTTTTAAATTACTATAGTATTTAATGTGAGAAATCATAAATTAAAAAGTTATTAGAAAATTAAGCAAATAAATACAATTAAATCGCTTGAGTAGAATGATAATAATATAATGTCATTTATTACATGTAAACAGATTTTTATTTCATATAAAGCTGTATTATTGCCTATTAAACCTGTCCAATTTAGATCGTTCAGCAAACGAGTATCTGCTATATTGACTCTGTCAGATATTAATGACTGATCATCTATGATAGAAAACTGTTCAGTCTGTTATATTGAATGGCGATCGGAAACAGCGCTCCCCATTCGCTCCTCTTGATCGCAATGTTTGTTAAATAGTAAACACTGTTGTTTATTGTGTACAATATTTATTAACAATATACAATTATATCGATGACGATGTCCGAGAAGACGTTAATAACATTAACATCTGCCGTAACCATATATGGTTTGCCTAGATCGAGTGTGCTGGATTGTGTGCTTCGGGAGACTCCTGCATGTCCGCAAACGCCCCCGCCCCCGCTGCTCGAGTACATTCCACGCACACGCCCCCACTGCTCTTCAGATACGTCGCGCACCATCACCGCTACCAAGAGAGTGGTGGAAAAAAAAAAAAGTTAAATGTATGTAACAAATATGGCCGACCAGACACATAATTATTTTGCTTTTTATATAACAACTGAGCCAACTTTTGCCCAGGGAAGACTCGAAACCTGATTCCTAGGTATTTACGATCCAAAAGGAATGTGCCATGCAGCACTGAACAGTTCAGGACTTCTTTAAGCTCCTTGCTTAAGACTGATGTTTAATGTAAACTTTACTCTCTCTTTATGTGTAATCATGTGTTTTGCAACGTTTCCCTTGCTCCTGTATCAATTTTTTGGTTTTAATACCTCTGCATAAAATGTTTAACTCTAGCGAAGCTAAACGAGCTCATAAACGGTTCATATTTAGTTTTGTTCTAAAGCTTACTTGCTGTACTAAACTATTGTTTATTGTGTACAATATGTAGCTCCCTCCAGCAACAAACGAGCAAGAGTCTTTGGTTTCTACTGACTGGTTTATTTTCATAGCAAGTCTTCAGTTCTCAACATAGAGCAAACCACAAGACATCAGGGGTGTACCAGACGTAAGAACTAAAAAACATACAACAATGAATTACAACAGTGCATTTCCATATCAAATTAATCCAAATCACCACATTAAGGTCACACATAACACTGGATCACATAATCTTAACTAATACAATTTAACTTTTTAAATAGCACCGCTCATAAACAAACAGTTAAATGCACACACCAAACAAACAACAACAACACACTTCAAATCAAACAAAACCAACAAATCATACAAAACAAACATACCTCATTGGCTGGTTACGGAAGGGAGAAACTCAAGAAAAGCATAAGCATTCCTTAGCTTGACAAATGCTTGGAAGTGAATGCATTTGTCTCTCTACTCACAGTGGTGCATCATTTTTATAGTTCCCCCTGAAATTAGCTCCGCCTTAATTAGTTCCTAGGTGAACTGGCATAAGATCTTAAACACACATGACATCTGCTACACTCCCACCAAATCACTTGTGATTTTTTCCTTTTTTATAAATCACACTTAAACACAATTATGAAAATTAATGCAACCCATGGAGTGATAGTGTGAAATCAAGCAGTCTTCAATCAGCTTCAAGAAGAATGACTACCTTCTGTATTGGACGCTCAAGGTAACTTGGTTTAGACAATCGCTTACCCTTTCCATCAAGCGAAGAGTCACTCATTAACAACTTGACTTGTCTCACTTTGCCATCCTTTCCTTGGTACACGTCTACCACCTTTGCCAATTTCCACTTGTTACGTGGTGAAACATCATCTTTAAGGATTACTATGTCATTCACTTTAACATTCCTGCGATTCTTAATCCATTTCTGTCTTTGCTGAAGATTTAAAAGATACTCTTTTCTCCAGCGCGACCAGAAGTTGTTGACTAAATACTGCACTTTGCGCCATCGTTTACGGAGATAAAGATCTTCTTTGACAAACTCTCCAGGTGGTGGTTCCACAATCATAGACTTCATTGTCAAGATATGATTTGGGGTAAGAGGTTCTGGACCTAGAGGGTCATTCAAATGCTCAACAGTCAAAGGCCTGCTATTCACAATAGCCATAACCTCATACAACAGAGTTCGCAGGGAAGTACTGTCAAGTGCCCCAGGACATTGGTCAAGAACAGAAGTCAAAACATTTCTTACGGTACGGATCTGTCTTTCCCAGACACCTCCCATATGACTTGCTGATGGAATGTTCATGATCAACTCGCAGCCAAGTTTCTTTATCTGCCCTTGATCCATTGTTTTCAATGTGCTCATAAATTCTCTGCTTGCCCCCACAAAGTTCGTACCCTGATCACATCGAATTTGGCGAACTGTTCCACGAATGGCTATAAAGGAGCGGAGAGCATTAATAAATGCATCAGTAGACAGAGCATCAAGCATTTCAATGTGTATGGCTCTGGAACACATACAAGTCAACAATAACCCATAGCGTTTGAGTTGCCTTCTACCATCGGTAACATAAAAAGGTCCAAAACAATCCATTCCACACAATAGAAAAGGTGGAGTTGGCTGCACACGATCTTCAGGAAGGTCAGCCATTTTCTGTTCTTCTACACACCTTCTAAATTTCCTACATTTCAGGCATTTGTATATGTGAGAAGAAACAGCACTACTGCATCCAAGAATCCATATACCATTGGACCGAAGTTCATTCACGGTCATTCCTCGCCCTTGATGTTGTACTCGTTCGTGATAATGTTTGATTAGTAATGCTGAGAAATGATTTTTCCTTGGAAGAATGGCAGGATATTTTACGTCTAAATGAAGAGTTGCATTTGCCAAGCGACCTCCAACTCGCAGTATGCCTTGATTATCCAGGAAAGGACTTAACTTGTACAATTGGCTTTTGGTTTGAGCATCAGATGTAAATGCTAGTTGTTTCTTGAGACTCGTCATTTCATGGGAAAAGGTTGCTTCTTGAACTAACCGAATGATAAAGAGCTCAGCATCTTTCCTTTGCTCCAAAGTAGTAGGTTCAAAAGCTTTGGATTCAAAACCTTTAGCTTCTCTTACATACCGTTTAAGTCTGGCAATGGCCTTCACCATCCTTGCCCAGTCCGAGAATTTGAGAAGACGTTCTAACAATGATTTTTCTTTATTTGCTTGGATATTGAAAACTTGAACCTTTCGAAGCTCTGGATCATTACTTGTGATCACATCTCCCACCTTAACTTCTTCACTGGGAAGATCTTTCTGCCACAAGAATTTTGGTCCCTTGAGCCAACTCGACGCCACTAGTTGTTCAACCATCAAACCTCTAGAAGCAGAATCTGCAGGATTGTCTTCAGTGCCTACATATTTCCATTGATTCGATTCAGTACTCAACTTGATACGTTGAACACGATTAGCTACAAAAACTTGGAATCTCCTAGCATCATTGTTGATGTATCCCAGAACTACCTTAGAATCAATCCAGAAACATTCCTGTAAATCCTTAATGTCCAATTCTTTCTTCAGCATATCACTGACCCGTACAGCGACCACTGCAGCTGAAAGTTCTAGTCTTGGAATAGTAGTTATTTTTGTTGGTGCAACTCGTGACTTTCCCATGACGAAAGAGCAATGAACCTCACCTGATGCACTGACTGTTCGAAGATAGGAGCATTCCCCATATCCTGAGATGCTAGCATCAGAGAAATGATGGAGTTCAAAACGAATGGCTTCGTTACTTATCTGTGGAACATAACATCGTGGGATCTTCACATCAGCTAAATTTGGCAGATCTAAAAGCCAACGTTCCCATTGAGATTGCAAGTCTTCAGGCAATGAATCGTCCCAACTAGCCTTGTTGTAGCACAGCTGTTGTAGGATCTTCTTGCCCACCAAAATGAATGGTGCCATAAATCCAAGTGGATCAAACACAGATGCTATCGTTGACAACACTCCTCTGCGAGTAAATGGATGTTCCTTTACAATGACTCTAAACTGGAATTCATCAGATGCAATTGACCATTGAACACCAAGTGCTCTCTCCACATACATCTCACCCAGATCCAGATCCAAATCCTTTACTCCTTTAGCAAGATCCTCTTGAGGAATTGAAGCGATAACTTTCTTACTGTTGGAAATAAACTTGTGAAGTCGAAGTTTCCCAGTGCTACAGAGTTTCTTAGCTTCAGTCACAAGGGCAATTTCTTCAGCTTCAGTTGGCACACTTACTAATCCATCATCAACGTAAAAGTTCCTTTGGATGAACCTGATAACATCTTCATTGAACATTCCTTTTCCTTCAGCAGCAAGATGTTTAAGACCATAATTTGCACAACCTGGGGAAGAAGCTGCACCAAATAAATGAACTTTCATTTTATACACTGAGGGTTGAGCTTCCAAATTGCCGTTGTCCCACCATAAGAATCGAAGATAATCTCGGTCCTCTGCTTTGACATGAAACTGATGAAACATGCGTTCTATGTCACACATAATGGCAACTGGATTTTTCCTGAAACGACACAAGACACCCACTAGAGTATTTGTCAGCTCTGGGCCTGTCAAAAGATGGTCATTTAAAGAAGTTCCTTGAAACCTTGCAGAACAATCAAAAACAACTCTAATTTTTCCAGGCTTTTTTGGATGATACACTCCATGATGAGGAATGTACCATGCTGAACATTTCTCAGCTTCTTCAGGTGGAACCTTCTCAGCATCTCCACAGGCAATGATTTCATTCATGAAAGCAGTATAATCACTGTAATACTGCATATCCTTCTTAAATCTTCTTGCCAAACATTTGAGACGATATACTGCACAGACTTTATTGTTTGGCAAGTTAGGCCTGTCACCTTTAAATGGTAGTGGCATCTCATAATGTCCAGCCTTATTTAATGATGTACCTGCTTTCATTTTCCCTAGGAATCGAAGATCCTCTTGAGACATACAGCAATCCTCAGATTCTTGCTCACAAAAATCAGATTCAAACACCCTAATGACATCTATTGGAGAAACCACTTCTTTGATTTGTGTTCGACAGACATAGTGCACCTTCGTTTTGAGATTGACAGAAGCAGGTATACTTGGCATTACTTGCCTCACAATAATCTGATGACTTGTTCCATAAATATCGCCAGAGTCAACACATGGATTACCATGACCAATTACACTCCATCCCAAATCGGTCCTCTGTGCAAAAGGTTGATTTCCTTCACCAGCCACCACCTCTCGTGGAAGAAGAGCCTGTGGACAGTTGTATCCAATTAATAAGCCAACATCACAACCTTGTCGAGGAGCAAGGACATCTGCAATATGTTCAAGATGAGGCCATACTCTTGCTGTTTGTGGTGTAGGAATGTGATCTTTGCTGGCAGGAACAAACTCTCTTGAATAGGTTGTTGGCAGAGGAATCCTAGTTTTCGAATAAAATCCTCTAACTTGAAGACCCTTCATTTTAAAACAAGGAACGACTGTAATCTTTGAAGCCATAGTTGCAAGTTTCAATTGAACTGCTTCCTTCTTAACATTCAGTGCATGTGTAGTCTCTTCAAGAATAAAGGTTGTATCACTTTGTGTATCAAGGAGAGCATATACTAGAACCTCTTTCTCTGGTTCAGATGTTGTAGACACCCATACAGGTATAATAGAAGAAGTGCAGGTATTATTAATTTCTTGCATTACCTGGTTCGAAGTTGCCTCATTTAGAACTCTTGTGTGTCTATGCTGATAAGGATCTGTGCTCTTCTTAAAGCTTTCAGTCACCCCATGATTTCCAACACTCCTTGAACGATCTTCATGAAGACAGGTAGGATGGTTTTTTGCACAAATGTCACAGACACTTCTGTTTTGACAAATCCTTGATTGATGTCCAGGCTTCAAACATCCAAAGCATAACATCTTCTTATAGACAAACTTGTGTCGTTCAACAACTGTCTTCTCCATGAACTTATGACATTTATGAAGACTATGATCATTTTTTTGACAAAAAACACAACTCACCAAGACGAGGTTGTCTCCACCAGAATTAGTCGCCAACACCTTTCCCACAGAGCTTCGAGTCTTCAACGTCCTTGTTCCTTCTTTATCGCTTGATTTCAGAGCATAAAGTGATGTTATAGGATTGCACACAATCTTGGCTTCCTTTGTGAGGAACTTAACAAATTGGCTGAAACTTGGAAATGTTTTAGTATTTTCTTCAGTTTCCATCACCTCTCTATTCCATCTTGAAGTTAACCAATCAGGCAGCTTGGCAAGAATTTTTTGGTTCTCATTACAATCATTTAACACTTCAAGTTCTTTAATTTGAGGAATGGCAGCCTCACAACTACGAAGGAAATCTACAAACTCTTGTAGTTCCAAACTTTCCTTGGGACCAATCTTTGGCCAAACATAAAGCTTCTCTCGAAATGATTTGGCTATAAGAAATGGATTTCCATATCTTTCTTCCAAAATCTTCCAAGCTGAACAATAAGCCGAATCTGTTCCAAGAAGAAAATGGCCTTCAAGAGCCTTTTTGACAGAATCTCCTACATACCTCCGTAGATAGAAAATCTTCTCCACTGCAGGAATGGATTTCTTCTCTATTAACATTTGAAAGGACGTTTTCCAATCATTGAACTTAAGTGGATCCCCATTAAAAACCATTGGTTCTGGCACAGGAAGTCGATTGACTCTCATAGATTCAGTCAAAGCCTTGACAAGAGAAGTATTATCTATTTGTGGAGTTGTCACTGTTGGCTGTAAAGTGACATTTTTGTTGACAAATTATCAGGTCTGTGGTGTCTTATCCACATGGATTTCTTTAAATTCACAATCATGAGACAAGTCACTCAAAAGTTCATCATCTTCTGAAGCTTCACTCTGTTCATATATCTGCATACGTGCTTTAGCTGCATTTAACTTTTTAACTGTCTCCAAACGTTCCAGTTCGCGGCGTTTATCTTCTAATAACTTACGTCTAGCTGCATTTTCCACCTCATGCTGAGCTTTCACCTTAGCCTCTTCTTCACGGCGCTTCAAATCATCAGCTTCTTGTTCAGCTATACGCTTCTTATCTTCAGCTTCAAGCTTCTGAAGTTCCTTAAACTGACGATCCTGTTCCTTTAAGACTTCTAAAGTGGCTTCATTAGCAGCAACCTCAGCAGCAGCTTCTTGTTTTTTGGCAGCAGATAAACTTGAAAACTTAGAAGATCTTGACTTACTTTGAGACGATGTTGATGTTCTAGAAATCCTTGTGCCCACACTGACCTCTTCAGATAACTCAATGTCACTCCATCCAGACTCCATTTCCTTATTCCCTTCGAAATAATGCTTCACCAAAACCTCCATTTTCTTTGTGACTGCTTCACAATGGTCTACTCGGCGGCATGTATCATGGTCAGGAATACTCAAATGGCGTAGATCTTCATACCCAGTGCCTACAACTGCAGAAGCCTTTGTCATTCTTACCATAACATCTTGTAATGATTCAATTGAAGAAGACTCAGATAATAACCACTTTACTTCTTTGACAAGAGATTTCCATTTATCATAACTGACCTTGAATCTCTGTTCATACCTTTCCAACTTCTCTTCTTGCAACTTCTGACCCTTTTCAGTCAGCTTACGAGTCCTCTTTCCTCTTCGTAGCTCAGTCTCCACAGCATCAGAAGTTTCCGTTGCCACCTTACTTCTCACTGAGGGCTGAGTTGCAAGTTGCTGATTCACTCTATCATCCATGGGCCGCTCACCTAAATCTGACATTATTTAAATTTCTCCTTTTTCACTTCTAAAATTCTTTTCTTATTTATTCCTTAATTTAAAGTTAAGACCATAAATCATGCCTTAATCTGATTAAACACTGAAAGTGAAATTTACTCTTATTTCACAGCAATAGAAACAGGCAGTTAAACAGTACTTAAATTACATACAAGTCAATAATAAACCACCAACATTTTGAAAGGAACATGACAATATTAAACAATACTTAAAGTCTTTGCAGCCATTAACCACAGTTAGGTACCTTTAATCACACTTAACTGCACCACTCTTACTGCTGGTCTTGACTTGTGCTGCTCTTCAAGTTATGCTTGCGTCTCCATATTACACCGGCAATGTCCTTTCCTTCTGATATTGCTGAACCATGTATAATTTCACTTCGTTGCTTTGCACAACAGAATACTTGACTGAGTTCATTGGTTAAATTGTCCTGCTTCTTCTTTCATACTCGCAATGAGCCTTGAGTTCTTACTGTAGCTCCCTCCAGCAACAAACGAGCAAGAGTCTTTGGTTTCTACTGACTGGTTTATTTTCATAGCAAGTCTTCAGTTCTCAACATAGAGCAAACCACAAGACATCAGGGGTGTACCAGACGTAAGAACTAAAAAACATACAACAATGAATTACAACAGTGCATTTCCATATCAAATTAATCCAAATCACCACATTAAGGTCACACATAACACTGGATCACATAATCTTAACTAATACAATTTAACTTTTTAAATAGCACCGCTCATAAACAAACAGTTAAATGCACACACCAAACAAACAACAACAACACACTTCAAATCAAACAAAACCAACAAATCATACAAAACAAACATACCTCATTGGCTGGTTACGGAAGGGAGAAACTCAAGAAAAGCATAAGCATTCCTTAGCTTGACAAATGCTTGGAAGTGAATGCATTTGTCTCTCTACTCACAGTGGTGCATCATTTTTATAGTTCCCCCTGAAATTAGCTCCGCCTTAATTAGTTCCTAGGTGAACTGGCATAAGATCTTAAACACACATGACATCTGCTACACAATATTTATTAACAATATACAATTATATCGATGACGATAATAGCATTAACATCTGCCGTAACCATATATGGTTTGCCTAGATCGAGTGTGCTGGATTGTGTGTGCCTGTAACGTGTTTGTGGTTCTGCGGGTCTGCAGCTGGATGTTATTGGTGCATGGGTTGTAGACTCAATATTGCTGTGCATGCTGGGATTGATTGAGTGCACTTCATAATGTCCACTATGCTTCCGGACACCATTAGAAATGGCTGCTCCCTTGTTAAAAGTGTCGTTTTTGAGCCGTAAGTCAACAGGAGGATTGATGTGACTTTGTTTTGTTGATGTTTTTCTGTATGTCGTCCTGCAGGTCAGTGTTGTCTAGTGGACTGAAGATGGAGACGGGGCTCAAAACATCTGAATCAGACCCCTCTGTTCATCAGCTGCCAACAAACAGTGTGATATTTATTTCAGGAGCTTTGGATTGATTTGCCCTGGTGATCCTTCAGTGTGGATGTACACTCACTGATGTCCAACAATCAACATTGGCTGATGGAAAAGCAGGAGGTTTTTATTCGACAGCATCACTGTTTGATTCCTCTGAATCCTCCTGGAGTAAATACACCGTCAATCATTCTCTCGTTATGAATAACCTCTGCGCGGACCTGAGCTCTGTTTGATCGCTCTGTTGTGTTTTCCGTGTCATCTGCAGGTTGATGCGGTGCTTTAATAAAGTACTTTAATGTGATCACCTGTCATGCATATGCATATGAGTTTAACTCTATTCAATTCATTTTACATTCACCTGATTACTATTTGCACGGTGGCTCAGTGGTTAGCCTCGCAGCAAGAAGGTCACTGGTTTGAGTCCCAACTGGGTCAGTTGGCATTTCTATGTGGAGTTTGCATGTTCTCCCCGTGTTGGCGTGGGTTTCCTCTGGGTGCTCCGGTTTCCCCCACAGTCCAAACACATGCGCTATAGGGCAGGGGTGTCTAAACTCGGTCCTGGAGGTCTGGTGTCCTCCAACGTGCCTCAACACACCTGCAAGGATGTTTCTAGAATGCCTGGTAAGAGCTTGATTAGCTAGCCCAGGTGTGTCTGATTGGGGTTGGAACTAAACTTTACAGGACACCGGCCCTCCAGAACCGAGTCTGGACATGCCTGCTATTGGGGAATTTGTGTGTGTGTGTGTGGGGTGGGGGGTTGGGGGGTGTTTCCCAGTACTGGGTTGCAGCTGTAAGGGCACACCCTGCGTAAAATAAATTCTGGAATTGTTGGTGGTTCATTCCACTGTGGTGACCCGTTATAAATAAGGAACTAAGTCAAAGGAGAATGAATAAATGAAAGATTGTGGAGCACAAAACTCTTAAGTTGCTCAGGTGTATTTGTAGGAGTAGTCAAAAATACACTGTATGAGTCAAAACTACAGATTGATCTTTTATTCAATGATTAGAATACTCAGTAAATGCTCCATAAAGACATTTAGTACATTTTCATAAATATTTTCAACTTTAAAGATGATTTTCCTCTATATTTTTATTTTTCTGAATTTCCTCTAGATTCCAGACTTTAAAATATTTGTATCCTAAACCAGGCTTGAACAACCCTGTTCCTGGAGATCACCTTCCTGCAGATTTCAGCTGCAACCCTGATCAAACACACCTGCCTGTAATTATCCAGTGCTCTTCAGGTCCTAATTAATTAGTTCAGGTGTGTTTGATCAGGGTTGGAGCTGAACTTTGTAGGAAGGTTGATCTCCAGGGCCCGGTTTTTCAAAAGTAATCCACTAGGATTTTGGATAAGGGATTGGATCAAATCTTGAAAATGGGTTTTTCAAAAGAAAAAACGGATTACATAATCGGATTAGATCACGTAATCCAATCTTTGTTTTGATCCGGATCAAACCTTTAGTTTGGGTTTTTCGTACCTTTTTTGTAGGATTTGGATCACTTTGATCCAAAAAACCTGGATTAAACTGATCCCATCAGAAGGGTGGATTTAGCGTGGATTTCATGCCTAAAATGTCATAAAAACTTAAAAAATTTATTAAACAATACTATTTTTGGATCATGCAGTATCTTACAAGATATACTATTTATTTATAAGGTTTTAATTTTACTTGATGATCTGTCAGGCTATAGTGATTATTGGCTTTAACGTATTCAGCCTTTCAGTATAGGCCTCCAGCAAAGTAAAAAGAGTTTGGCCTCATAAAATAATCCCCCAAACAGCTGTCAAAACTGACCAAAAACAATCAATTTTATTCCGTCACTAATTGATATATATATATGTATTCATCACAATGGAAATTTTTTTTCTTATTAGAATATTTATTAATGATAATAGCAATGATTACAGAATAAACAAAAAATGCAAGAAATGGCAATGACTGATTTTTGAAATCTCTTTCAACAATTGCAAAAAGAGACTGAAAGGGCAGAAGCACAGCTTCGCCTGGCTGAGAAACAACTGACTCTGACCAAACTGCAGCAAACCAAGGCCAGACTTGAGATCCCCCTCCTAAAGGATATGCTTCACATCAGATGAGGAAGTCTGAGATTATTGTGGAGTTTTTGACATTAAGTATTTTTTAAATTTACATCTATATTTGAAACTTATTATAAATATCCTCAATGTACAGTGTTTGTGTTGTAGGTCTCAGATGAGCGGAAAAGGATGGGGTGGGCTTTTTCTTGTTTTTCTTATTTATTATTATTATTAATTTAATATTTATTACATTTTCTTAGTTTTCATTTAAAAAAAAAATTTTATATTGACCCCACGCTGGTTATTCTACTTGTTGCTCTTTACATATCTATAGTTCTACATTGTGATTTCCTATCCTGTTTGAGCACTGGTAATCCAGATTTAGTGATCCTGAAAAGTTCCTATCCAGATCAGATTGATCCAATCCAATGTTGCTTTGAAAAACTGGCTCAAAAAGTAAGTTGGATTACGTGATCACGGATCGCTAAAACAGGATTACTAAATCTGGATCAATTTGATCCGGATTAAACCTTTTGAAAAGCCGGGCCCAGGAGCATGGTTGAGCACCACTATCCTAAACACAACTTCTCCAGTGGTGGAAAGACTACTGAAAAATCATACTCAACTAAAAGTGCCATTACTTGCCTAAAAATGTAGTGCAAGTAGAGTAAAAGTATCTGTTGTAAACTTAATCAAAGTAGGAGTAAAAAGTAGCCCTTTTAAAAGTACTCATGAGTAGTGAGTATTAGGCTGTGAAAAGTTGATGCATTTACATGTAATTTGTGGATGTGTGTAAACGTAACATTCTGTAGTGCATGTAGTTGTTGCCCAGCAGGCACACATGTCATAGGATGTTAATATTAGGTCAGATTTAGGTTGTGATGTCAAGTGACCAAAATTCAATGTCCAGCCAGCGTCTAAGGATAACGTTATTTTGATGTCTAACAACGTTAAATGATGTTGATATTTGGTTGATTTTAGGTTGTGTTTGAAAGTGACCAAAATCCAATGTCGAGCCAACATCTTAAACCAACACTTTTAAACTGGACACTTTTAATGCTTCCAAACAGTTTGCTGCAATTATAAAGTGCACATGTCTTGAGGTAGTTCATTATGATGCGATTTATCTTCGATGAGTGATTTGATCGGACAGGAATCACACGACTGAATTTGTTAAAATCCATAGACAAGAAAACAATAGTGACTGCAGGTTGAAGGACAGTAGTGGAGTAAAAGTACAGATACAGCACTAAAAATGTACTCAAGTAAAAGTACACATTTTTAGCACTACTCAGTACATTAAAATTCCTGAGAAAAAGTTATTAATTATAGTAATTTGAATATTTGTAATTAGTTACTTTACACCACTGAACTTGTCCTAACACACCATGATAAGATCATTCATGACTGTTTGATCATCCCAGTCCTTGATCTGTTATAAAGTAAATTATCAAGTGTTTTTTACTATCATTCACGACTTTACCTGCTCAATCAATTGCTTCAACCCCCCCGCCCCGGAAAGCTGCTCTATTGGATTGAGCTCTGGTGACTGTGGAGGCCATTTGAGTACAGTGCACTCATCGTCATGTTCAAGAAACCAGTCTGAGATGATTGAGCTTTATGACATGCTGCGTTATCCTGCTGGAAGTAGCCATCAGAAGATGGAGACACTGTGCTCATAAAGGGATGGACATGGTCAGCAGCAATACTCAGGTAGGCTGTGGCGTTGATGCTCAATTGGTACTAATGGACCCAAAGAAAATCTCCCCCACACCATTACACCACCACCACCAGCCTGAACCGCTGATACAAGGCAGGATGATCCATGATTTCATGTTGTTGACGCCAAATTCTGCCCTGAGCATCTGAATGTGTCAGCAGAAATGGAGACTCATCAGAGCAGCAACGTTTCTCCAATCTTCTATTGTCCAGTTTTGGTGAGTCTGTGTGAATTGTGGCCTCAGTTTTCCTGTAATGCAACTCAGTGCTGATTTCGTGTGTATACAGTGTTCATTTTTATTTTATCTTTTATTTATATTTCTGTGTTCTTCGTTTCAAGTAACACAATTAATATTTCTAACTATAAAAACGTTTTTTTATTTAATTTTTATTCAAAAGGAAATGTGTTTTATGATGCCAATATTCATTATATTGATGTAAAATAATAAATGTAATATCAATTATTATGCTTTTATATAAAAAATTGTATACTTATTAATATAACACTAAGATATTATATAAATGCAATAAATATACCGATGTTAATATAATATTAATTAATATTATATGTTAATTAATATTATATTAATTCCAGAATTAATATAATATTTATTATTATATGCATATTTATTTATGTGTTCGCTGTTCACTCCGGTTTCCCCCCACAGTCCAAAGACATGCAGTATAGGTCAAATGAATACGCTGAATTGGCTTTACAGTGTGCAAGAGTGTATAGGTGTTTCCCAGTGTTAGGTTGCGGCCGGAAGGGCGTCCGCTATGTAATAACATGCTGGATAAGTTGGTGGTTCATTCTGCTGTGGCGACCCTTGGTTAATAATAGTAACTGATTAATAGTAACTCCACGGGTCACTATCGCTAAACTATAACTTGACGAAACGCAGATTCACCTTTGTGTTTCTGTACAGTAACATTCTGCTGTTTTTCGAAGTGCACCGATATGAAGCATGAGGGTTTTTCATGACTGCAGGTGAGTGAACTGCGAGTCGACTCGTTTGACTCGGAGACTCGCGAGTCAGAGTTCGTGAGGTGTGCTGGATAGAGAGCAGCGCGCGGCCGCTCTTAACCCCTAATATCCACCGATTCTCCTTCCAGAGACTCCGGGAAAATCATGGAGAGGAAAAGGTGGGAGTGCTCGGCTCTCCCGAATGGTTGGAAAATGGAAGAAGTGACCAGAAAGTCGGGCTTGTCCGCGGGGAAAAGTGATGTCTATTATTTTAGGTACTGCAGCGGGATTAGCCTGAGCCCAGAGAGCAAAGACAAAAAAACTGCCTTTTCTATTACTTAACTATCACTAGTTTGAACTCATTTGGCTAAGCGAGTCCTCTAGTAGTTTATTATTGTAGATTATTGCTGTTTTGTTGTGCTTTTGTTAAACTGGTCGTGTTTTGTAGTGTCGTGTGAGTGAGTTAGCGGTGATCGCTAATCCGCGTTAGCAGCATGCTAGCTAACTCATTGTTTTTGTTTGGTTGTGTCTGTTGGTTTGGTTTCCCTGTTGTTTTATGCCAGTTTACACTGAATTA